TCATTCTCGGCTGCACAGCAAGTTTGAGGCTAGCCTGAATGAGACATATGAGACTCCACATCAAAAAAAAAGGAGGAGGGCAGAAAATAGTGAAGATCTTGATTACACAGTATTTGCCAAACACACCATAGAAATGAGATACAAAATGTCTGAAGACAGCAAGAGAGGACCAAATAAAGACCATAGGGAAAGAAGGTTGTACATGTGATGTACATTCAATTTCTCAACACTTTGAAAGCCCCAAAGAAAAAAAAATATTTTGGAACTTGTTTCTTTGCCAATTACAGCCAGAACTCTAACCAAAAATAGTCTGTTGGTGGAGCTGGTGTTTCTTTTTCCCATTCTGCATATTGGTGACCCTTTACCCCATGGATGGTCATAGTCACATTTCTTTGTTTGGACAATTATTTCTAAAGGCTCAGAACTTTGTCTTAGTGATGAAAAACCAAAATGTTCTGGTCAGAAGTTGTTCAGGCCCTGGGAAGAACTAGATCTAGCCATCTTTATATTGACAATTTTATATTGACCTTATCACAGATTCGAGAAATGACTCCATAATCCAGTCCTTGAGGGAAAAACAACCCACAAAACATGGTGAACTGGGTGAGAATGGTACCTAGACCTCACATTTTAAAAAGCCAGGCATGCAAGGTACATGCACTTACAATTCCAGAGCTAGGGAAGCAAAGACAGGCAGATAAATCCTTGGCTCTCCCTGACTAGCCAATCTAAACTAATCAAAGATCTTCAGGCCAGAGAAGAGACCCTGCATCCACACATACATAAACACAAAAACACAGGCACAGTTACTCACACATATTCTCACACATGCTTACACACACATAGTCACACACATGTTGCCACACACTTGCACACACACACACACACACACACACACAAACTTGACTATACATTATAAAACTTATAACTTCAAGTAGAAGACCAGTAGGAGTTATATAATATCAAACCTTAATCGTCAAAACAGCCAAAAATGTAGGACTTCATTATGTAAACATATTGAATACACCATTAAAGTGAACACCATGGAGCTAGAGAGATGGCTCTGAGCACGTAATGTTCTTATAGAGAACCTGAGTTCATTTTTCAGCACCTGCATTGGGTGGCTCACAACCACCTGTAACTCCATCTACAATGAGGTCTGATTCCTTTGCCTTCCAGAGGCACCTTACACCCATATGCATATACCCACACACATATGTACGCAATTAAAATGTAATACAAAAACTTTTTTAAAAAATGAATGCCGGTGAATTCTTCCTTTGGAGTCATTTCTATTCTTGGGAGTTCTTCCTCACTTTATTCAAATTTCTTTTTTCTGTTCTTAAAAATAAAGACAACTTGTAACTTTTTCAGTCACCCACCCCAGAACAAAGTGAAACAATTTAGGCATAAGATCATAGCTTAAAAAGGAAGTGCAGTGTAAGAGGCAAATGAATTTCTTATCCCCTTGATACAGTAAGGAAAGCTCAGGAGACTTCTACTCAAAGATTAAGAATGACCACAGGGGGAAAAAACATGACCCAGATGATAAAGATGAAGATGACAGAGCCTAGATGGTTCTAGAAGTGGAAGTGTGTTCTCTGTAGCTATTATTCAGCCACCCCCCAGTCTGCTATTGGCCAGGGATTTTCCTAGAACTTGTTTACTAAGGATTCTTTGTATATGTCCAAGTCAAAATGTTTCTTCTGGGCAGTGAAAGGGCCTTGGCTCATCCCAGGGAGCCATTGTTTATGATTTTGTTGCTAAAGATTTAGATCTCCAAAATAGAATGAAGTTCCTTCAGCATTCCTGTATGGTCTCTGTGCATCGAGAGGGTACCATGTCCCAGTAGTGAAGTATCTCAGTCCGGCCGAAATGAGGACCCCACAGGCCATATTCACTGACTCAGTCTGTCATATCAGAAGTGACCTAGATAGTGAGATGCCATCTTGGAGTCTCATAGCAACTGATTTGCTTTGTCCCCTCATCAGAAGGTAGACAGAATGGCCCTAAAACGTGGCTACCTTGGCATTCTTGTTACAATACAACCATCAAGTAGAATTGCTTTGTAGATTCTGCCAACACTTTCCTGTATTTTCTAGGGAAGACTGACCTGCTTGGGAGGGATTCTGGTCCAAGAAAGACACAGAAAGAACTCTTCCCCGCTTGTGATGTTTGGTAGACGTTATGGAGACCCTGGGTAGACATTACTGTTTATGCGATCTAAGTTCCTAGGTAAGACCAGGTGGCAGTGTGGCTGGTGATTGCAATAAAGGGGACACAGAACATTGTCTGATGGTTGCTATGTCTGGATCTACCCACATGGAATTTGGTGTGGCCTAAAACTGTGTTACCATAACATGGTCACTTATAATGGCTGCAGAATAAATTATCTCTTATTTTCTTTAAGGTGAAAACTGCATGTTTAATGTTGGCAAAAGTCTACCATTACATGGGTTCTGGGGATTGAACTTGGGTACTCAGGATTGTATAGCAAACACATTTACTCATTGATCCACCTTGTCAGTCTAAGTAAAGGAGTGGTGAGATGAAAGGTTCATTCTCCAGAAAGTGGTCCTAGAAGAAAGCATCCTTCAGCTTTCAATGGACACTTTCTTTTCTTTTTCTTTTTTTTATTGATTTAATTGAGCTATACATTTTTTTCCTCTGCTCCCCTCCCTGCCTGTCCTCTCCCCTTCAACCCTCTCCCATGATCCCAATGCTCCCAATTTACTCAGGAGATCTTTGTAGATTATATCCATGTATGACTCTCTTAGGGTCCTCATTATTATCCAAGTTCTCTGGGTTTGTGATTTGTAGGCTGGTTTTCCTTGCTTTATGTCTAAAACCCACTTATGAGTGAATACATATGATAATTGACTTTCTGGGTCTGGGTTACTTCCCTCAGTTTGATGTTTTCTAGCTCCATCCATTTGCCTACAAATTTCAAGATGTCATTATTTTTTTCTGCTGTGTATTACTCCATTGTGTAAATGTACCACATTTTCCTTATCCATTCTTCAGTCAAGGGGCATTTAGGTTGTTTCCATGTTCTGGCTTTGACAAACAATGCTGCTATGAATATAGTTGAGCACATGTACTTGTGGCACGTTTGAGCATCCTTTGGATATATACCCAAAAGTGGTATTTCTGAGTTTTGAGGAAGGTTGTTTCCTAATTTTCTGAGAAGTCGCTACACTGATATGCAAAGGGTTGTGCCAGTTTACACTCCCACCATCAATGCAGAAGTGTTCTCTTTTCCCCAAAACCTCTCCAGCATAAGTTGTCATCAATGGTTTTGATCTTGGCCATTCTTACCAGTGTAAGATGGAATTTCAGAGTTATTTTGATTTGCATTTCTCTGATGGCTAAGGATGTTGAGCATTTCCTTACGTGTCTTTCAACCATTTTAGAGTCCTCTGTTGAAAGGTCTCTGTTTATGTCTGTACTCCAATTTTATTGGATTATTTGTTCTTTTGATGACCAATTTCTTGAGGGTTTTTAAAAAATATATAATTTGGAGATCAGACCTCTGTCTGATGTGGGGTTAGTGAAGAACTTTTCCCATTCTGTAGGCTGCTGTTTTGTCTTGTTGACTATGTCCTTTGCTTTACAGATGCTTTTCAGTTTCAGGAGGTCCCATTTATTTTTTGTTTTCTCAGTGTCTGTGCTGCTGGGGTTATATTTAGGAACTGGTCTCGTGTACCAATGCGTTCAAGTGTACTTCCCACTTTCTCTTCTATGAGGTTCAGTGTGGCTGCCTTTATGTTGAGGTCTTTGATCCATTTGGACTTGAGTTTTGTGCATGGTAATAGATTTGGGTCTATTTGCATTTTTCTACATGTTGATATCCAGTTATGCCAGCACCATTTGATTAATAAGCTTTCTTTTTCCACATGATATTTTTTGTTTCTTTGTAAAAAATCAAGTGTTCGTAGGTGTGTGGATTAATATCCGGGTCTTTGATTTGGTTCCATTGGTCCTCCTGGCTGTTTTTATGCCAATACCAGGCTGTTTTCAGTACTGTAGCTCTGTAGTAAAGTTTGAAGTCAGGGATTGTGATGCCACCAGAAGTTCTTATATTGTACAGGATTGTTTTAGCTATCCGGAGTTTTTTGTTTTCCAAATAAATTTGAGTATTGTTCTTTTGAGGTCTATGAAGAATTTTGCTGGGATTTTAATGGGCATTGCATTGAATCTGTAGATTGCTTTTGGTAAGATTGCCATTTTTATTATGTTAATTCTACCTACTCAAGAGTATGGCAGATCTTTCCACTTTCTGTTGTTTTCTTCAATTTCTTTCTTCAAAGATTTAAAGTTCTCGTCATACAGGTCTTCTACTTGTTTGGTTAGAGTTACTCTGAGATATTTTATGCTAATTGTGTCTTCAAGGGACTCTTTCGTGAAAGCTGCTTGTTAATGTTCCTTAAAAAGAATATCTTCTATTTCCTTTTCCCGGGGAGATCCACGCTTCCCCTTGAGGCCTCCTTGATACTTAACCTGTCTTGGTCCATGGGTTAACCTTTACTTAACAACTAACGTCTGCTTATAAGTGTGTACATAACATGTTTGTCTTTTGGGATTAAGGTTACCTTCCTCGGGATGATTTATTTTCTAATTCCATCCATTTGCCTGCAAGTTTCATGATATTTTTTAACACCTGAGTAATATTTTTGAGGATGGACTGGGTTGGGTGGGGATGGAAAGAGGAGGGATCAGGTGGAGGGTGGGTGAAGAAGAAAGAAGATAGGGAAAGAAAGAAAATAAACCTTAAAGATTAAATTATTTAACCTGAACTTAATACCTGTGAGGTTTCCAAAGGATGAGTAGAATTACATTTCATGGCATAGTTTCTTCAAAAGCTATACTGTAACTGAAACCTGATGTTATATCCTGAATTTACTCTCTAGTCTGGCCAAGCGAGTAATATAGTGTCACATTTTGACAATCTGTTTGGCAGCCCCACATGAACTGAAAGATGTTCTGCTGTTTCCTTCCAGGGTGCTCAGTGTGATAAAGGCTTCCACTACAGTCTCTGATCATCGCTACACCCTGGGGTTCCAGGTAAGTACTCTGTGTTCAAAAAGTAATCCCTTGATTCTGTTGGCATGCTGGTGGAGAAGACAACAAAGCAGTTGATCTTGAATGGAGCAGTAGTATACCATCTGGTATAGTTTCAACCACGACTAGAAGAAAAGGCTGGTACGTGAGATTCGAGTTGACAGAACCTGGTTTAGGAGTTGTGTGGGTGACTCTTCAGGCAACATGGAACCACATAAGATGGATATGGGCCTTTAGAACTTCCAGTCTGCATCCTGCTGCAAACAGAGGTAATGAAACATAGTCACAGCATGCGAAGGGAATCCCACATCATCTTGCACTTAAGGACAAAATATAACGGACATGGACACCCACCTGACTAAAACAGGACTTTTGCAGTTTCTGTGGCTGACTGAGAAAGGATAGCAAGGTTTCTTTTTGAATGAAAAAAAAAAGAAATAAAAAAGAAAAGGACATGATTTTCCCTAAATATGGTGGAGGAGAAAATTCCTTGTAGATAAAAGGGAGAGCAAAGCCAGAGGTAGGGACATCTGGGAGAGTTCAGAGTGGACATGACCAGACAAAGCTGAGCCATGTGGGCAGAGGAGGAAGGGAAAAGAAAAAGGGAGAGAGGGGAACCAAAATGGCTGGATTATACAGGGAAGAGCCTCTGGGAGAAGGGCAGCCCAGCCCCTGGGCTGGAGAGTTCTGGATAGGGGACCAGCCAGGTAGGGACTGTGGGATGTTGGGAGACCCTGGTGGCCATTGTCTGCTTTAATACTTTAGGTAGACACCTCAGCCATTTGACCAAGGGCTTGAGACTTAACACTGGAGGAAGAACAAACATACATAGTGAATTGGCTTAGTCCAGTGGTTGTAAGCTGGGCAGCCATAGCTATAGAATGGTAAAACTGTTGGCAAATAGCAAGAAATTATGTGAAAGGTGGCAGGCTATCTTAACAAGTGGGCAGCTGAGGTCTTCTGGGAACTCAGAGGAGGCCTGCTGAAAGGGTGATCAATGTGCTGACAGAGAGAGAGCGATGGTCAGTCATAGGCTCAGGAAGTTTGGTTCCTGCAGTTTACCCTGTTTCAACTAGTGATGAGGCTCCAAATTTAGCTTCCAATAAGGGTCCTAGTACCTTGAGAGGGTACAATGGCTGGGAAGGTAATGTCTCAATTAGGCGGCGAGAATGAGGATCATGTGGCGTCAGATGCCTTGAGTTCAGCTAAGAGATCCATCTATAACCAGAAGTAGTTATAAAGGTAGTCAGCCATTTTAGAGTCTGGTGGTAAGTTGTTGCTGGCATTTTTCCTCAGAGAAGGGCAGAGGGAGTGGCCCTGGAACAAGAGCTCCTTGGCTTTCAAAGTACAATACTGCCATCCAGTGAAATTATTTTGCTGTTCGCACCAAGCACTCCAGGTTTTCTTAGTAGGTCTGGGTGGGGGTGGGGGTGGGGGTGAGGAAATGGGAGGGAGGGAGACTCTAGTCCAAACAGTGCAAGAAAGGCGGCTCCAGCAGGCTTGCCAAACTTTGGGGTAGCCAGGGTACCATGACCCATGTGAAGCACCGGCCAGTCTAGCTCCCAAAGAAGGCAAGGCTCTAGAGCACCAGACCTCAGCTATACAGGAAGTACAGCCAAGAAGATCCTGTGGCAGCCATAGCTGACATACATGAGAGGAGCTCTCTGCCTAGGCGCCACATGGGGCTCAGATGTGTGGACAGACTGATTGTGACTTCTTTGTGTCCTCCTAGGAGCAAGGGATAGATTCTGTCCAAGTACCTGTGGCCACACTCAGTGTCCCTGGCTGATTGATTATTTTTCCTGTCCCCTACCTATACCAGGGACACTGCTTCTTCTCAGAAGTTCAGGGGTCCCCAGAAATTCCAGTCAGAGGTCATTGACATGTAGATCATTTCTTAGTTCATTCCTTCTTTCCATCTGGCCATTCCTTCCTTCCTTCCTCCCTTCCTTCCCTGCTTTCATCCTCCCTTGCTCATTTGCTTACTGACAACCTTAGCCTATTCACTTTGCTTTCCTCTCTATCTTGTCTTCCTTTTCCCCCCATTTCATTTCTTTCTGCTTCAGTTTGACTTTTACTCTTCTTCAGGACTGCTGCAGGTGGAGTTGAGTGTCCTCTACTGATCAGACAAGGATTTTGCTATAAAAATTATATCCACAGCATAATCCCAGGGTATAGGGAGTTACTGCAACGGAGGTATGTACTTGGAACATCCTGGTTGTGAGAGCCAATTGTGTACATATCCGCAAGGAGCAGAGGGCGGTGTCCATCCTCATGGTGAGCCTGAGCAGAAGCAGCCTCAGTCCTAGAAGGAAGGTAGAGGTGAGAGGTGATATGCCACATGACCGGGATTCACTACCTGAGTCTCCCTGGAAAACCAACTAACAACAAACCTGACTCAAAGGCAGCTCAGAACTCTTGGAGTGTACTCCTCACTAGCCCACAGTATTCCCAGAGAATGCTTGGGGACAAGGTCAAGGAAAGTTTCCCTGCCCCTTCCCAAGTGATAGCTGCCCTATTAGGTAATAGAAATCAGGAATCTGGTCTGTGATCAGTCAGTGGAATAATGTGCAGATCATGGCCCGACATAGGCAGGTGGCAAAAGATGAATCTATGGTTCAACTCAACTTGACAGTTAGCTGGTATATTATATATATTCTCTCTCTCTCTCTCTCTCTCTCTCTCTCTCTCCTCTCTCTGCCTGCATGTATGGGTGTGTGTGTGTGTGTGTGTGTGTGTGTGTGTGTGTAATTCTCATTGTAGAGCATCCTGCCTCTAGAAGGTGTATAACACATCCACTCATTTCAAACCTGAAAGAGTTATTGGTATGAATTTTGTAAGCCCTGTGAAGCCCCAGCCCTCAGCAGAAGTACACAAGTGGATGCATCTGACAGAAAGTGCTGGGATCACAGAGAAGTGGCATGCAGTCTTTTCAAGAAGTGGGTGTCTGTTCTTACAATATGGTTCTCAAGACCTTTGGCAGGAAAATATGTATGCAGAAGGTGTCAGGACTGATTGATCCATAGACATAACAGAAGCCCTAAGGCAATGTCTGATTCCAGGAAAGGAGCACCAGTTATAAGGGAAGGGATAAAAAAATTAATCATGAAGCCAGAGACCCTGCTGTGCCTACAGGTTCTTGGGCTGTCTCTGTTTCATGACAGTAGGAGAATTTGAAGAATTCAAAAGACTATTGTCCACATATCTGCTCTTAGAGTGCTGGCTTCCAGGAAGAAAGCTCCTCTCTACCCCGACAAACATGGCTGCCACAGGAAATCCAAGCCTATGCTTCGCATATAGCTCTGGATATTGCTGTGAGGCAGAGTGATTCTCAGAGGCTTACAAGGGAGCAGCCCTAGCAGTTACCTGGACCATGGATTACCTCACAACTGACTAGCGTTCCCATCACTCAGAATTTGAGCCAGAGTCCTCACGTGTTCTTTCTGTGTTCCCTAACCAGCAGACAAGCTAAGAAACAGATCTCCAAGGTGCTGGCAAAAATGGGAAAGCAATTCCGCTTGATGGCAGTATTGCTCCAACAATGCCAAGGACCCTTCATCTCATTGTCTCCCTCCACCTTCCTCTGAGGGAAAAAAAAGAGAAAGAAAACTTAAAGATTTGATGCTAGACTTCAAGATGGCATAGACCAACCTTGGACAACACTGGCCATGGGTGGACCTCAGAGAAGGAATGCAGTTTTACACACACACATGCACACATGCACACGCACACACACACATGCACACATGCACACGCACACACACACA